ACACACACACACACACACACACACACACACACACACACACACACACATACATACACGCTCCCCATGTTATATCTGGTATGATATCTTGTATAATTTAACATACAGTACGTTAAGATTACACATGTAAGTTTACAGTGACATTCTTCTGCTCATTGACACTGCTGCACAAATGCATACTGAGTTAGATGTTCTGCTGAGAGGCCAAAATCTGATTGGACAATCAGGACGTAGAATTAATAACAGCAGTGTGGTAGCATATACAAGTCTGCATAGACAGTGCTGATATCGCGGTGAGGCGGTGTACTGCGGCATTTTAAAAGGAGGTGTCCATGGCTGATGTCTGGCGAACCCAGATCACTTTTTCAACATAGCATTTTGACGTTGTCAGTAATATTTGCACAGCATCACCAGAAAATATCACTGGGTGTCCACAAGGCCAGTCACTCTCTTACTTCAGTGGCTGCTGAGATTTTAAGATTTCTAAACAGGGAAGACGACCCATTCTCACTCCCTACTCGTCAAATACGGATGCTCAGTCGGTGCCCCTCGCCGTCTGATACCGTCTCATCGAGGCACCTTTAAGCATCTGTGTTAGACGCACCGGCAATGTAAACTCAGCCACCTGCTTATTAGATGGTCAGAGCAGCTGATGTAGCATAAAGAACGAGAAAGTGTACATAGGGCAGGTAAGAGGTTGGATAGGTCAACGCAAGACTTTCACCCAGCAGACTGCTGTTTGTGTCTTGTGTGAAACCAGGTCAAGTTGACTTATTTTACTGTAGTTTTGTTAAAGAACTTAAGTAGGTAACTAACACCAATTACACGGAAAATGTACTTATTTTGTGTAACAAACGTACGTGTTTTGACCCAAACCAAGATCTTTTCCAAACCTAACCAAGGAATTTTGCTGCATAAGTAAACCTGCATTGCTTTATTTTGAAAAAAGATGGTATGCATGTAACGAGCGGAAACTGTACGTTTCCTGTGAACAAGGAAGTTGTTTTTGAAAAGACACTATGCATGTTAGATCGGAGACTGAAACGGCGTCCCTGACATGTCCAAAACCGATGCTAGAGAGGAACCATCATTTGAAGTTAAGGCCACTGACCAAGAGTTGGTATTTGACAAGTTGGGAGTGAGAATGTGTTGGGCAAGCTGGCCCGGCTCTGTGTGTTTGCTAATGCTCCACACTCAAGAAAAAAAACAACTCTTTACTTTCACCAAAACTGCATAATCCTCTAAAATAGATTTGAATCATAAGATGTGTAGAATTGTTTGTTTTAAAACATTTCAGTCAAAAAACACATTAGTAATCATGCTGATATCTGATGGTGACTAAATATTTCGGAGAGTACCTAAATATTAAGACTTAGGACTAAGATGAATTTGACAACTTAACATGAGTCAGACTTGTCATGTTTCATGGTCATTTAAATGCTATAGCGACACCTACATTTGGCTGCAATTGTCCAATGCACTCAGGGGTTAAATCCATTTAGGGTGAATAATCTATGCCAATAAGAAATAGGCCAAAAGCCAGTTTAAGAATAACGTTATACTGTAGCATCAAACAAAAGCATCTACTGTATATAAAGGGACTTTCAAGATTGGATACAAATAGTAAGAGTGAAGGAAAACTTTTGATGGTTTTTATAGAAAATGGTGGAAAAACAGGTGTAATCTTGAACCAAGTCAAGAAAAGGGATTTGGCTTGGCCGCCACGCAGTTGAGGAATTACGAGCCAAAACATAAAGTGCTTTTTAAATGGCCACACTTTTTTCTTCTTTGTACCAAGTTGAGATTGTGTCAAACCGCCGTCAAATTCAACTTCCCAAGTCCTGTTTCATGCTGATGTATATGACAGAGAGTTTGAATTTACGTTGTGTAGAGACAGAGGTCCCTAACCTTGTTTGCACCACGGACCGGTTTCATGTAAGACAATATTTTCACGGACCGGTCTTCAAGGTGTGGAAGACGAAATAAAATGATACGATCAGCATGAAAACAAATATAAAATGCATAAATAAATACAACTCACAATAATGCTGAATCAGTGGAGCCCTGAGCTTGTTTCTCTGCAACTAGACGGTCCCATCTGGGGGTAATGGCAGACAATGACACCCGAAGTCTGTTCCTTATGTCCAGTCTACTCCGTTTAGTTTTGATTGCTGTCACTACAGAACATCCCGCTTCACAAAGAGGATGTTGTTAATGGAAGCAGGGTTTTCAGTGCTTTAGTGGCGATCTCATGATATTCAGCCTTGATTTTAATCCTAAACACCAGCAGAGTTGTTGTCTCAAACATACTTTTAAGGCCGCTGTCATTTACAATCTCCAGCAGCTGATCTTCCTTTATCGACACATATTCTGCAGAGCGAGTTTGGCGCGTCAGAATTACTCCTGATATTTAATCAGACTCCTGATATTGTCTGTTAAATGAAGCTTTCTTTTTATTGGAAGTTGTAGCTCTTCTTCTGTCTCCTTAGTGGCCTTTCTCCCTTTGCAAAGAAGCTCTCCAAAAGTTATTTACTCATTTTCGCTAGTTTGCGGGCTTAATTTTTGAGGTAACGTATCACGTGACCGAGACGAGCGTATTGACATGTGTGTCAAGAGCCACAGGCGGATGAAATTGCGAGAGAATCCGGTCATTTTTCAAAATAAAACTTCTTTCAGACTCTGATAATCAATAAAACGGAAATAATATAATATTTATTCTTTCTGTTCGGCCCGGTACCAAATGACCCACGGCCCGGTGGTTGGGGACCACTGGTGTAGAGAACTAAATCAAACGTGTCTTTCCTCAATTAAACACACAAGTGATGAAGTGACACATACCGAGTGCATATTTGTGCTTCCATCAGTGTTACTGCGGATGAAGACTGTTCCTGCTGAGGTTTGCCGTTCAGCCTTACGTCCTCCTGTCCCTTGTGCTGTTGTCCACAGAAACTTACTACAAACATGTATTAACATCTGGTGGATCTGAATGCTTGATGTTTTTACATTATTATCCTTAAGATTTGAATCATATAGGCCCTTGTTTTTGATGCTATTAATGGCATGGTTTTTGTTGAACTTGCCATTACCATTCTGCTGAAAAATCTTAATTAGTGAGACATTTGTTATATTATAAATTTTGTTTGAAGTCTGTTATTACTCCAGTCTACTATAGGTGTCCAGACCTGATTCCTGGTGTCTAGTCGCCTTCCAGGGAACAACCATCCACGATTGCGTTGGATTCAGTTATCAGACAGCTGGAGAGCAGAGCAGCAAAATGGATCAAGCTGCCAGAGCACGAAATAACTCAATGAAACAAGATGTCCAGACTGTAGGCTCAGCTGCACATACATCCCTTCATTTTTCTTTTCTGTCCTCTTCATACTTTTTTTATGGGTGACTCACGGCTGGTGCCCAAAGTCTGGGAAAAACAAGCATTCCGCGCCCACTGAGTCAAATCTTCATGCCAAGCTTGGCTTTCTGTGAAAAGGACATAGGATCATCAGGTTAAATGCATTACACCTGTCTATCACCTGATACAATCTGCGGTTTCAAGCTACACAAACAAGTAAATGGAAATCTGTCCTTATATTGAAGTAAGAATGGATAAACATTTAACTTCTGTTTGGTCAAGTGCATTGCAGTGCTTAGAACTAATTTCAATTAGTCGCAATGTAAAGTATGGATTTGCTGCCTTCAATAATAGCTTCATATTTTTACACCCTGTCTCATGATAGTGGCCAGCACTCATCACCATAATTCCCAAACATGAAGTGTTCAAGAAACTTAAAGTTACTATGAGGAACTTTCGTATAGTGTTGCTTTTGGCGGTCCCCGTGGACGAAAGCGGTAGTGTTTCCGAGATCCAGGTTCCTTATACCCTATACCTCTCATTTTACTGCAGCCAGATCTTACAGTCTACCCAGCTCAGTCCTGGTTCTGGTTCTCCCGTGCCTCCCTTCCCTCCAGCAGGTCCAGCAATATGGCCTGGTCCTCCAGCAGTGTGGAGGGATTTTAGATTACTTTCTGTGGTACTTGTACGTTCCCCTTCTTTTTATATTTTGTCTGTTGTCAAACAAACCTAACACATCCATTAATAAACACTTTAAAGTGTTATAAACCATTTTTATTTCTTTATATACTGCTTATGAATTATAATTAGGAGGACTTAAATAAATATAGTGATGAAGCTAATTGTCAGAGCTTTACTGTCAGTCGTACTTAGTTATGAGGCAGTGCAAAACATACTCTTCAGTCTTTAGATAAACAGGGATCACAAGAACAAAGGTGAAAGGTGAACTTACAATGCCAGAGGCATGTTTTGGTTTGACGCTGTAGGAAGCCTTCTCCTTGGCCTGTCGGAAACACTCTTCTGCTGCTTTTAACCTGCAGAACACACAATATGAATGCAGCTAATATGAATACACCCATACTGATTTTGTTGCTTCTTCAGAATACTTGTAAAGCCCAGGTTAAGGAAAAGATTGTGTTGTTTCTGAAGTAAGCAAGTTGCGTGAAAAATAAATCAACATTGACTTTTTTAGTTTTACATGTGGAACGAACAGCAGTCTCCTGGCTGAAAGATCGCCGTTTGTTAGAGCCCCCCCCAACCCCTTACAGCTTAGCCTGGAACAGGGTGAAGGAGCAAACGTTAGTATGGCTCTGTACAAATGGTATATCAAACCGTTTTTTGTCAAAAATGGAACACGGCAGATTTTCCGCACCATATTATCCCATTGCAATAGTGAGAAATAAGTAAAACTGTTTTAATTTAACATTCAATGCATTTTAGAAAAAGAAAACAGCAGTTTCTAGAGCAGCATGTGTTACTGTACCTCTCCTTAAGAATAACTTTGTTCTCCTTCTTCCACTGGTCCTTGAAGTCAGAGGAGAACTCGTGCCAGACGCAGAATAAAGTGTTGGGTGAAGGCTCCTTCTCTCCTGACTTGGCCTTCACTGAGAAGAACACTGTGAGCTCCAGGAACCTGACAGGACACCATCAGAAGTTTACTTATTGGCGTTCCCTTTTTATCCATGAGTTGAGAGAAAATACAACACTGGAGCTAAAAAGCCTAACGGTGCAGACGTTCCACTTTTTATTCCACAACATTTAAGAGGAAAATATCTTACACTTTATTCCACTACATCTATATGACAGTTACAAGGTACTTCTCAGATTAAGAGCTGACATAAAAACATATATATTTATAGAATATAATGCAGTGTTAAAGATTAGTGGTTCCCAATGTTTTGGGAACCACTAGTAAGTCCACCTCGACAAGCTTCAGCAGTACAATACTTCTTATGAATGATGAATCAGTATTAGTATTTTTACTTGAGATTTTGACACACAATTTGCAGAAAATAGCCTACTTCTGTGCTTTTACTTAAAGCTACTACATGTAACTTGAATTGAATAGTGTACTCTTTCTCTCACACTCCCAGAGCTGCGAGGCGGGGTGGTGGTACTGGCCTGCTACTCTCCCCAAAATGGAAATACACTCTTGTCTCGGTTCCTCAGTTCTCCCCGTCCTCTTCCGAATTGCATGCAGTTACTGTCACTTATCCAGTCAAGCTCACCATTGCTGTTGTGTATCGCCCACCGGGGCCTCTTGGTGAGTTCTTGGAAGATCTCGACACATTAGTCTCGCACTTCCACGACGATGGCTCAGCACTCATCCTGCTCGGCGACTTTAACATCCAGACTGATAAATTAGAACCTCTTCTTTCCTTCCTCTCCTCCTTTGACCTTTACCACTCCTCTTCTCCTCCTACCCACAAGACCGGCAACCAGCTGGATCTTATCTTCACTAGACACTGTACTACTGCTAACCTCTCCGTCACTCCTCTCCAGGTCTCTGACCACTATTTCATGTCTTACTCCCTCTCCCTCTCCTCTCCACCTACCCACATGGTCTCTACCTGTAGTCATCTTCGATCACTCTCCCCGGCTGATCTTTCCTCTTATGTTACCTCTGCTCTCCCTGACCCAGAATCCTTCTCTCTCCTATCCCCTGATACTGCTACTGACCTTCTCCTCTCCACCCTTTCCTCTTCTTTGGACAACCTCTGCCCCTTCACCTCCAGGCCTGCACGGCCAACCCCACCTGCCCCATGGCTGTCGGACTCAGTACGTACTGACAGACGGAGCCTAAGAGAGGCTGAGCGTAAATGGAGAAAAGGCAAACTCCCGGAGGACCTTCTTAACTTCCAAGCTCTTCTTTCCACTTTTTCCACCTCTGTTTATACTGCTAAAGCTGCGTTCTTCCGCTCCAAAATCCTAACCTCTGCTTCCAATCCTAAAAAACTCTTCGAAACTGTCTCTTCACTCCTCCAACCCCCACCCCCTCCTCCTACTTCCTCCCTTCTCCCTGACGATTTCGCCAACTTCTTTGACAAGAAGGTAAACGATATCAGGTCCTCCTTCTCTCAGCCCCCCGGTCCCTGTCCATCCTCTCCCTCACTCTCTGTGTCCCTGTCCACCATCTCCAGCTCTACCCTCTCCAGCTCTTCCCCCACAGCTCTCCCTCCCCTCTCCATGCCCCATCTTACTCCCCTCTCCCCTAACAAGGTCCTCAACCTTGCATCTAACTGCCCCACCATGTGCTCCCTTGACCTGATCCCCTTCTTCAGTCTATTGCGATTGAACTCCTTCCTTTCCTCACCCACCTCATCAACAAATCCCTCGTTTCAGGATGCTTTCCCACGGCTTTCAAGACTGCCAGAGTCACCCCCTTTCTGAAAAAACCATCACTTGACCCCTCTGATGTCAAGAACTTCAGACCGGTTTCTCTTCTACCCTTTCTTTCCAAAACACTTGAACATGCTGTCTTTACTCAACTGTCTTCCTATCTCGACCAAAACAACCTCTTGGACCCCCACCAGTCTGGGTTCAAAGTGGGTCACTCGACTGAGACAGCCCTCCTTGCGGTAACGGAGTCGCTTCACACAGCGAGAGCCAACTCTCTCTGTCCTGATTCTCCTGGACCTGTCTGCGGCGTTTGACACTGAACCACCAGATCCTCCTCTCCACCCTCGAGGGGATGGGCGTCTCAGGCTCTGCACTCTCCCTGTTTGCATCCTACCTGACAGGTCGATCCTACCAGGTGACATGGAGGGGGGCCTATGGGGGTTCCACAAGGCTCAGTCCTGGGCCCCCTTCTCTTCTCGCTCTACACAACATCTCTGGGTTCTGTTATTTGCTCGCATGACTTCTCTTACCATTGTTATGCCGATGACACCCAGATGGTCTTGTCATTTCCCCCCGGTGACACTCAAGTGGAGGCACGCATCGCTGTGTGCTTGGCTGACATCTTGAAGTGGATGACGACACACCACCTCAAGCTCAACCTGGACAAAACCGAGCTACTGTTCCTCCCGGGGAAGTGTTGCCCGCACCGAGACCTGTCCATCACCATTGACGATACCGTGGTGATGCCAACTCGGACTGTGAGGAACCTGGGTGTGACCCTGGATGACCAACTGTCATTCTCAGCAAACATTGCATCGGTTACACGCTCCTGCAGATTCCTGCTCTACAACATCAGGAGGATTCGCCCCTTCCTCACTGACGAGACGGCGCAGGTGCTAATCCAGGCTCTTGTCATCTCCCGCCTGGACTACTGCAACTCACTACTTGCCGGAGCCCCGGTGTCGGCCATCAGACCTCTGGAGCTTGTCCAGAAAGCTGCAGCTCGCCTGGTGTTCAATCACCCCAAGTTCTCCCACACAACTTCCCTTCTCCGTTCTCTACACTGTAAGAGGTCACATCCAGTTTAAGACTCTGGTGCTAGCCTACAGGGCAGTGAAAGGAACAGCTCCTTCCTATCTCCAGGCCATGGCCAAGCCCTACACCCCCGCGCGACCACTTCGCTCTGCTGCCTCGGGGCGATTGGTTGCCCCGTCGCTCAGAGGTCCCTACGGCCGATCGACCCGGTCGTGGCTGTTTTCTGTCCTGGCCCCACAGTGGTGGAATGAACTCCCCACTGACATCAGGACAGCAGAGTCGCTGCCCATCTTTCATCAGGCTGAAAACTCACCTCTTCAAGAAGGCCTTCCACTTAGCACTTACTTAGCATCTATTGTATTCATACTAGCTTGTTGCACTTATTGTATTCATATTAGTTGGTGGCACTTATTGCATTCGTTTGTTTCTGCACTGTACGTTGGCTCTGGTTTATGCTCTTAGATGCTTGTTTGAAGAAAGGAGATACACTTATGACTTCTGGTGACTAGTTCTCTCGAAAACCGATGTTGAATACACTTATTGTAAGTCGCTTTGGATAAAAGCGTCTGCTAAATGACTGTAATGTAATGTAGTGTAATGTAACTTGAATTTTGTGTTGATTTTGGCAACCCCTTGGGACAAAAGTGGTAATGTTTCGGAGCACCAGAGTCAATTTAGAAAACCTCTCATTTTACTGCAGCAGGGTCCTACAGTCTGTCCTGCTCAGTCCTGGTTTTGGATCTCCCATGCCTCACTTCCCTCTAGCAGAGGTGTTAGTGTTGGCTCCCAGCGGACACTGTGCAGTCCAAAATGTTGGTTCCGTGCTACAAGCACATCAACTGCTCATGGGCTAGACAAGTAAACGGGATGCATTGTTTGTGCACTGTACGTACAGTCTGTACATAATTCCCATCTGTTCTCCTATTCTCATCAAGCAGTCGCACAGTTTTTTTGTTTTTGACTTTTTCATGTTATTCCGCCAAATGCAACAAACAAAAGAACCTCTTCCTGTTGCTGTCAGGAGGTCACCATCATTTATTCTAATGCGCCTGTGGTGAACCGTCTTCACCAATCTACAGTAGTATGTACAGTAAAGAAGCATGCGCAAGTGCACATCTGTTATCTTATACATCTGAACAGAAGTATGATCAAAGCTTTAAGTCATCATCTATGGTGTAACTGCTAAACATATGGTAAAGGGCCAGCTGATACATGAAGTGTACTGACTACAGTGATATGTAAAGATCACAGCTCTCTTGTACAAACTGGTGCTCTCAGTGATGGTGACATTTGAAATAAAGCAGGTAAAGTTTGTTTGTATGGTGCGTAATGTAATGAGTTTTTCTTACAATTTGTGAGTGCTGCTGAGTTGAGCATCCAGGGTCTCCAGTTCACTTTTTGCTAGGAGAAAGAATACAAGAGGTCAAAACAAAAGTGACACTTGAGAAAGTACTTGGGTTTGTTGTTAGCAACTGCTGCCCACTTGTCGGTCGCATGGACTTGGAGGCAACGCACCAAAAAAACAAAGCAATGCGCCCACAAAGGTAAGAAAGAATGAGACTGCTAGCAAGTAAACACGTAAACAATGCATGATTTAAAATATTCAAAATGCTTGCAAACGTTTAATGGGGATTGATTCAGTTTGTTAGAACCAGACGGCTACCTCCGGTTCTGCAGAGTGAAGCCGGTGTGGAAGTGTCTTAAACTTGCATTTTCTCTACTGACCAGCAGGGGGCGACTCCTTTGGTTGCAAAAATAATTCAGATTGTATTGAAGTCTATGAGAAAATGACTACTTCTCTCTTGATTTATTACCTCAGTAAACATTGTAAACATGAGTTTATGGTCGCAATCTCTAGTTTTAAGTCTTTTTCAATACAGCATGATGTTCATTTAGTAGATTATGGTCCATTTAGAGTCAAATAGACTATAAAGAGGAGTATGCTTTAGGGCAGGCTTACTTTGATTGACAGGTCGCTGCTGCTACCATAGCCGTATACGGCGTCTCTACGTCACTACTCCGCATACCAAATATGGTAACTTCCGTTCATGGGTTGAGAAAAAGCAACATTGCGACGGCATATCGCCGAACTCGAGGCTTAAAAACGAAAGTCCACAAACCAATGGGTGACGTCACGATGACTACGTCCACTTCTTACATACAGTCTATGGTTATATCTCAGGGGAACACACAATGCGCTTTGGTGGGAAACGGTGAATATACGCAGAAACTTTGTTGGTCTACAAGAAACCAACACTGGCTGCTTTTAAGTTTACGCAAACTAAAACACTTTAGTTTAGTAAGTCACCTTGCGCAAGGAAGTCGTCCATCTTGTCTTTAAAGGGCTGCAGGTTATCCTCGTCTGAAACCTTGCACACCTTTTCCACTTCTGATGTACACGCTAATAAAAAAAAGCAGACAGTAATTACAAGCCAGCAGCACATTTTGTGTGAAATACCAGTAGGCATATATTACAGAGTGGTTATTATATAGTTATTTTTTCACAATATTGTGAATATATCATAGTTTAAATCCATTCAACCTACTTTGCATATACGTTTAAAATCTCCAACTCTTTTCAGTCTGTACTTAAACCTTCGTAATTGATCTTTTCCTGCCATTTGGTGAACCAAAAGCAGAAGCCACAAAGACTGAGGCTAATTACCATGTAAGCTCGATACTGTGTGTGTGTGTGTGTGTGTGTGTGTGTGTGTGTGTGTGCGTGTGTGTGTGTGTGTGTTACCTCTCAGGTCCTTCCTGAGTCGATTCAGGTCTTTCTGGAAGTCTTCAAACTTCATTTGTGAGGACTGAAATAGGTCGTGAGGCTCAGGGAGAGGGTACACACACGTCTCTCTACCAGCATCCTGGTAATGGACAGACAGGCACACGCCTGTCTGTTATTATGTCAAAAACAGTTAGGACAGATGTCTGATATTGTTTTAGGACCACCATGTACATAGCTGTTTGCTTTACTGGCTGCTAATAAAAATGAACTTTAAAACACATCACCACAGTGTGATGTGATGAAATATGGTGTGAAAATGTTGCAAATGTCTGTAATATGTGTTTCTTATCCTGGGTTTGCTTTGTGAGACTAATGTGAGAGTATACAAATAGGGACAAAAATAGCATCGGACAAAGATAAGAGTGCACAAAACAGGGAAAGAGTTATAGTATGGGAGGAAGGATGTAACTAAAGCACTCACCTCATCGAAGTGTCTGAGGTAGTATGCAACAATGTAAGACAGAAGACTTTTCATGCCATCCTGCATGTGGAGGAAAGAAAAAAAACATCGTCACCTGGGCTTAACAAAGATAGTTGCTGTGTCTTTGTCCCATGCGAGCAAAACTAAGCAGTCCCTCAACACCACAGCTTCATAAATGCACTATATGAAGTTATACTGCATAGTACTTAAAAACATAGTATATAAAAGTGGACTAAAGACATGGAAATGTCTATATACTGCATGCTTCCATAAATATAGTCAAGCAATGTTTTTTAAAACTGTATTGATTCTATGACACTATGTAGATTTTAAATTAATAGTTACAAAATGTATACAGTACAGTTTGTATAAACTACATACAAGTCTGTTTACTGAATATGTTTACCTAAAGAATTATGCTTTTTTATTTTATTCAGTTAGTAGTGTGTTCTTTGTACAATGCCAGTTTTCCTAACTACTATAACTGTAACTATAGCAATATATAACAACATATTGAATCGGAACCCCATTATCATGATACATATCGTACTGCCAGATTCTTGCCAATACACAGCCTTAATAAACTCTATATTGGCATGTAAACACTACTTCCGTTTAAGTCCAGCATGGACCAGTCAGTACAGAGTGTAGACTGGTAGCTGGAGGGGTGCCAGTTTACTCGGGCACTGCTGAGGTGACCTTGAGTACCAAACCACTTCACTGCTCGGGGCCTCTGTGTGTACACGTGTGTATTCTGGGCCTATGTGTGTAAATTAGCAATATGAACAAGGGGATTCATGAAGTAATTTGTTTTCTTCTACTATAAAAAGCACAACAAAATGTGCAAGGCTGTAAGCCACAAGATCCAGAGTAAAAAAGCAGATTCTTTTTTTTAAAGTTTCATAAAGTTTCAGTGCAGTTTGTTTCCGCTTATTTCCCTCTTTACTCACGCTGCTCTTCACATCTTTGAGTTTGGGCAGGATGTCAAGGGTGAAGCCATCAGCTTGGCCTCTTGTTCGATTACCACCATTCATGAAGTTACCAAAAGCCAGGACCAGACCGAGAACCTGCTTCACTGTCGGACTGTCTTGCAATGCCTACAGATGACAGACATATGGGTTTGAGTCAGAGCTACAAACACAAAGGAAGAGGTGTTTGTTTAGCCCCACACATTTGAGAGGCGTTTTCCATAGGGGGCAGGCAAAGTGACATTGGAAACGTTTACAAAGCCTGAGATGCTCCCACTTTGCGGATGGATTCACTGTTGTTTTTCAAGAAATAGTTCCTGCCTGTAATCAATTTTCTTTTTGAAACAGTCCTCCCGCAGGACCAACCAAGTTTATTTCTCATTGGAGAGTTTAACTCACCTTGCATACCCTCTGCAGTGTGTCCAGCTTCCTCATTATGGACGACATGCACTCAGAGAAGCTGGACTGGAAGAGGATGCAGAAGACTCTGCCGGAGAAGTTTGGGATCAGGGAGAGCTGGTGGAGAAAGCTGCAACACAAGAGGAAGCTTTGGATCCAAACTCCTGTCCTCTGCTATCTCCCTACTCACTCTTTTATTCTCTCTTTGTGTGCTTTACAGTCTTTACTGGCTGATGCATGGCAGTCACCATTACGTCTGCTCATTGGTGTGGAAGTGTCGGAGGAATAACAAAAAAGACTCACTGCTCGGGTTTGTCCAGAGATTTGGCGTTCTCCTTGTCTTTTGAGGCTTTGATGTGCTTTTCAATCTTGTCCAGCTCCTCCTCTTGTGCCCTCTGAGGGAGAAACACAAGAGACAGACTTTCATACAATTACAAAAACATAGTAGGAAGTATACACCAGGGGTTTTCTAATCTGACGATATGGACCCCACTTGGACAAAATTGGGACATTGAAGGTAATTATGAGTCAGAAATATGTGTTTAATCATGTCTGTGTGTTCAGATTTGAGAAGAAGTGTGATTTTTGACGCAAATAACAATAATCGGGTGATTCTTAACGTAAACTGACTTTTAGTTTTTCAATTATGACACCATATCAAAATACCCAACTGATCTGTAATCATATTCTATTCATACATGTAACATGGATAGCAATTTATATATTTTTAATATAATTTAAATAGCCTTAAAAAAATGTATTTTCCTCCCATAATCAGGACATTGTAATTAAATATGAAAACACTGTACAAGAAGGCCTCCATATCCAACATCCACATCTGAGTTGAAATCATTAACCTACTAACCTTCCACCAAACCTGTTCATCAGCAATAATATTCTGAGGGTCAGCATAAAATCAGGAATGTGCTACCTGAAGTACAAACTACCTCGGAAAACTGTAAAAAAAGGACTCAAATGCCCAGACTTCCTTTACAGACAAGTGATCAGATTCTATCACAGTCAGACAAGCGAGATAAACTGTCTTTGTAGAGTGTGTGTTGCTCACATTTTCGTAGAGAGCCTGCAGGGTCTCCAGGTCAACTACTGTGTTGTCCAAGTTCAGGATAGCTTAAAACAGAGAGAAGGAGAAGTCACAAGTCTATTCAGTAGCAGTCAAGGATCAGCCTGTACCTCAGTGTTTTAGGGTGCCATGCCATTGTTCTGACGGCCCGTTATTCCGAAACCTGAAACTTGGTCCCATTGGTCTTTCAGTCCAATGGGACGTTTTTGGGACTATTGGGATTTCGGAATAGTGGGCCTTCGTAACAATGGGCAGTCCCCGTGTTTAGGTAAATGGGTCCATTTCATTCTTTAAAAACAAAAAAAAAAAAAGACCAGAGGAAAGAGAAAGAAATTAAGATATCTCATCCTGACTCTCTGCTAAAATGTTGTGATAACATGCAAAAGAAGGCACAAAATGATAAACTTGCTCCAAGCAGAGACAAATTCTGCAAAATCCCATTTATTGCAACTTATAGTAAAGATGTTACCATGTATCCAGCGTCAGCTATTATTGGCCCCAAATGTCCATACAGTCAGTAGAAGCACATGTGCACCAGATGTGATTGTTATACCACATTTAATTTGCATTTAATACTTTTATTGGTAGGTTTATTTGAGGTTTAATGCATGACTAGATGAATATCCATCCACTTACTATTCATACAGATATATAGGTAGGTAAATTATAGTGTTAGAGTTTTCTCATTCTTTTGGCACAATCATTCTCCCCTTTGACTAAAAATAGGCTCAAGCAGCTGAATATGAGGGTAATTAGTATTGCTGAGATGGATCTTTTCCCCAAGGTACCCTGTGTGGCATACACCTATCTACATTGTGGTATTTAATGAGGAACAAGAACCATGTATTACTGTGTGTAAATATCAAGTCATTACGAAAATGATGAACTCACCATGCTGGATATCTTTCATGTCAAGATGCAGGGAGGACATGAGAATTCCTACCGCCTGAGAACGCTTATTGTTCAGGAGCTTCACAACCTAAAAACACACAGATATGAAGCTCAGATGTGCTGTAGCTTTGCCAATGCTGTGCATTTGATGTTTCTATATTTTCACTGATATGGTACCAACGATTGGGCTGTGACTTTAAAAAGTCTGTCAAACTAATAATACTGGCAGTAAAGGATAAATAACATACATAATCAATGACAGCATGGTAAAATGACTTAAGTTACATTTCACATTATTAAATTGTAGGATGGAACAAATATGCCTAAGCTTCTGCAAGAGGAAATGTCAGGTGTTTTTAAATGTATAATATATGAAAATACTGCACAGTAAAAAGTCTTTGTATACACGGTTATGGGCATTCTTAATTCAAATGCACATACATGTATGTATGTATGTATAGCTTTTATATATGATAGACGTCCTATATCATCAAACCTTTTATTGACAGAATAGAATTTAGGGGTTAAGACTCAATGATTCTCATTGTAATAAGCAATTGAATAACATTCATGTAAAACCCAATCGACAGAAAAAAACGTTTCTGAAACAAAAAAACCCTGTTTCATATCAGTCTCGTATCGCACAAGCAGAAACGCACAACGCCACTTATTTTCTATTTTTTAAAAGTGATTATTGGCGAAACAAAACACTTAATAAAGAGTGGGATGGACATTTTCTATTTAACGAGAGAAAAAGATGTGAGAGTATTTAACGGGGTGTTCCCTTTTTATTTTGTTTTTAATCCAAGCAAATTATTAATATTATTGATGAAAAGTTTCTTTTGTGTAGCTTGATTTTGTCATACGATTGGTTAGATTTAGCCAACAAAAATATTTGGTAAGGTTAGAAAAAACATGGTTTGTGTTAAAATAAAAACGGGACGTAACAACGAAACACAGCAACCGTAAATAAATAGCAACTGCCCTTAGCAGTCTTTCTTACGTGATATTACATAACAAACGTAAAGTTTGTTACTACTACGTAATACATTACATATTACATAATGTTTACTTTCACACGCGACTTGAACAGCGGTATTCTGGTCCTTGTTTGACCCATCCATCAACCCTCAAACCCACAGTTAGTGGACTTTCTTGCATGTTATACCCGTAATTATATTACGTATAATGTTTATATATATATGTTTATATATAATAAACACAATAATGGACAAGCCAGATTTTGCCGACTTAAACACACGTCACGGCAACATGGCGCTGCACACAGTGCAGTGATGACCTTGTCATCATTTTTATCATCAGTTTCATGGAGTGTTTGTGTTGTGTAACAACATTGTAACTGCCATGTCCATTTTCATTCAGTTGATTTGTACTTCTTTGCGAGCATGCAGTACTATACTATTCCTCCCGTCTTTTTTGACAGGGGTCCCGCCGATCCTTGAAATGTCTTCAATTAGATTTTGTGAAATATTTCCCCACAGCATTCTCTAGTTCATTTAAAGATGGCTACTTTATACACCGTTTCTCTTCGTTAATGGTGCTGTGGTAATTGATGTATGTCCCTTGTAGATGCTTGTGGAGCCCAGAGACCTGCCATACAAACATCAGTTAGCTGCAGGCGTCCATGTTTTCCAGAGTGGGTGTAGTGGGACGCATTTAGACTCTGAATTATTGACTTCTGACTTGCAAAGGATTGCAGCATAAGCCGCTTGCTCTGCGCGTAGCTTGATGTACTACGCATCGCTTGCTGTACTACGCATCGCTTGCTCTGACCAAATGCAAAACTCTCCCTGTTCAATGTACCGTATCTGTTGTTTGCAGGAATGTACAATGCCAACATTTTTTCTTTGCGATTGGGCTATAATGTAATAAGCCACATCAAGCTGCTAAGTTTTAAGAAGGTAATTCAAATAAATACGTTCAAAATCTCTGATTGGTTGTTGTTGATGTTATTGTTGCGACAATACTACTTGTACTGTACATGTACAGCATGTAACATATGCTTAAACACACAGACCTGTTTGGCCTTGGACTTGGTGATGGTGTCAGAGAGCGGCTGCTTCTTCTCCTTCACAGCTGTTTTGGAGAACAACTCTACAAACTCCTTAAAGTCCATGTCAGGCTCCTCTATTGTCTCCCACACCAACGAAGAAGAAACCTCCCTGAAAAACACAAAAGAGCACTTACAAATGGATGGTAGGTTGTTCAGCAGTATGAGGAAGTATAACTACCCCCCGCTGGTCTTACTGGCCTAAAGAGGTGTTGTGCAGTTTTGCATAGATTTGCATTAAGTGTGAAAGTTTAACACATTGCAGGAAATCTGATAACCGACCATGCGCTCAAGAGGCAGCATCTGATTTGATGGCTTACTTAGATTACATTCAACAACATGAGTTTTAAAATCTACTAAAAGCCCTACACGGTTTCACTCAGCCTTAAAACCAGCTTTGTATGTAGAATTTAACACAATCCTCCTGCCTTTCACATTTATTAAGAAACCTTTTGAAAATAGGACGTGTCCAGCAAGAAGATGATTGTTCTAATTTACAAAACGGATGTGTTTAAGCTTTAAAAGCTTCAAGTATTGTGATGTTCGGACGCACTGTCCAATATTTCTATGGTGTGAGGTGCAAGAAACAGTGCAAATTAAAACCTTTGGCCAACAAATTTAGCAGATGAATGTGGCAACCAGTTAAAATAATATTTGATTCCTTTCCCATTGCGGGTAGACGAGTATGACTTTCTGTGTTTTTTCTGTCACAAATGCGCTGCAAAACAGTTAGTAAACAGTGAAAATGTTTCAGTGGTTACTTCATTTCTACATCTGTTACTTATTCAGTCTCTCTTTTGAACTCTCAAACCAGAATTGGTGATGGTTTGAATAGTGGAAAGACTAACACAGACATTTTTTACGAGTTTGATTTTGTTTCTGTCAAGTGACTGTTGTCTGACTGGAGTCAACATTAGCATGTCCACCTGGGTGCGTTCATGTGTAGGCAAGGGGCTCTGAAATGTAAGCTATCTGAGTTGAGGCTGCTGAACAGCCCCACATTGGGAAAAGCAAAGCCAGAGGCCACACAACTAGTAAGCATAGATCAGAAGGAGAACGTGTTGTTGTCTGGAGCGGTCCAAATATGCTCATCTCTGGTTTTATCAAAAGAAAAAAATACAAATCATTTGTCTGTCTTAGAATATACAGATACAAGTGCAAATACAGATGTCTATAAACGGTACTGCTGTGCATTCACTTTACAGTAGTACAAGAACACTAAACCAGCCTCCACCCAGAGCAGGACAGACTGTTTACACTTGAGTTACTCACTAGAACACCAAATGTGGATTAGTCCACTGCTGAAAATATGCTGATTGAGTAACGCTTGTTAAAACTAAAGTGTCTCTCCTGAAATTTAAAAAATATTAAATAAACCTTATATATGTGTGTGAGGTGTTTTTATAGATCTATGTCTTCAGTAGGAACCAATGGACTTGGAGCTGAGAGCCACAGACACGGCAGTCAGAAAACATTAAGTGACAAACTAAAACATCGATACTTTGGTTCGGCACATGGTATTTGTTAATAATATAATATATAATGTGAAAATCCTAATCTTTTAGGTAATTTAACACACTGAAATGATATCAGATCCTGTCTTTGAACACCGACTTCTTTCTGCATTGCCTGTTTTCACACTTTTCTCGATCGTGTTTGGGCTCAGAATGCAAGTGAAGCTAAATAAACTGCACCATCATGTTGAGCCTGTTTGGGCCACACCATCCTTACTTTTTGATGTTCAGCTGGATCCTGGTCCAGTAAAGGGGCTTCATGGGTCTGGGGGTTTCCACCACAGCCTTCCTGGGTGGCTTCTCCTGGGTCAGACCCAGAGCATACAGCCCCAGTGGCAGAGGAGGAGGCAGGGAGCCAAGGGCTCCTGGAAGAGCTGGGGGAGCACAGAAGCCTCCTGGTGGAGGAGGGGGTGGAGGAGGCCCACAGCCTGGGGGTGGTGGAGGTGGGGCTCCTATTCCTGGTAATGGAGGAGGAGGTGGAGCTGTGCCGCCAGGGAGAGGAGGAGGAGGAGGGGGTGGGGGTGGAGCAAGGCCACCTGGAAGTGGAGGAGGAGGGGGTGGGGGTGGAGGAAATGCTGAACCAAAAGGTAATGGTGGTGGAGGTGGAGGAGGGGGCATTGAGCCTCCTGGTAGTGGCGGAGGTGGAGGTGGTGGTGGGGGAGGAGGTGCCACTATCTGTCCGTGTAAAGGATGAGGAGGTACTGCTCCTCCTGGCAGGGGAGGTGGAGGTGGAGGCTGCAGCTGACATGAACACCTGGAGCCATCCTCGCTGGGCGGAGGCTGCAGGAAGCCATTCGCTCCGCCCGGCTCACTGCAAGGCACTTTGAACTTAAAGCCGTCGTCCATGGGCGAGGTCTGCACCGACTTGGCCTCCAGGCAGCCTAGAATGGGAGCTGCCTCCGTCTGCAGGTGAGCGTCACACACAACCGTCAGCAGGCCCTCCTCTCCCCCACACTCCCTGTCCGTGGTAGAAGTGGTGGGTTTCATACTGTCTCTGTCCAGAGGAAGGGGCTGTTGCTCCAGCTCAGCAATCTTAGTCCTGAGATCTTCTATGGTTTGTTCCAGCTGTTGGATGACAATGACGTGTTTTTCCTTCAGTTTTGCTGAAGGAAGTACACGTTCCTCCTGCAAATAAGAGAGAAGCAAGAGGTATAACAACAGTCATAGCTCTCTTTTTTAGTAAAATCTGTTGATAGGCAAATGTAGAATTATTTATTTAAAAAAGAAAAAAGTCCTCAAGTTGTGTCAGAGTACAGAGGGGCCACATTTAAATATAGATTGTGGCAGGAGATTTCAGAACAGCTTGGAATCAGGAATGGTCCCAAAACAAAGGATGTGCGTCAGATTAGACAGTGGTGGTATTGCTCTATAGGCAGCTGAACGATAGCTTCTTGCTAATATCATTCATTCTTTTGCACCGTTTGGGACTAGCATTATTCGTGTTATTAGTTCAGTTTTGTCTTGTATTGCAAATGTTTGCAACAAAGAGAATAACGGAACACATCAGACGTTATGTTATCAGATGACTGATTAAAGAAACGCATACAAAAAATACTTTAGTCTTTACATATGGTACTGGTAAAGGACTCCATTTATACTTGTCTACCTTAACGGACAAAGAGCTTTGAGACTGTTCCTACTTCAGTGCAACAGAAAGTACTTTATACATCTGAAAGAAAAAAATAAATGAAATACAGCAGGAAATCTGTGAAAGCAACAATATATCTAAGTGCAAATATACAGTTTTAGCAGCTATCCAAGCGCAAGCAGGGGGTATTTGGGTGTGGGGACAGGGATTTGAAGGAAAGCATTACAAAATCTGACGATAAATCAATGAGTCACATTACCTATTCAATTGAAAGGCCACACTCATAAGATAGAAAACATATCTATAATCTTTCAGTCAACTAGAGAAAAATGAAGTGCCTGACCTCTTGGCTCTCCTGCTGCTGCGTCAAATCCAAGATGGCTGCATGGTGTTCTGAACAAACAGAGACATCAGCAGGTCAGCACAATATAGTACAACAGAAACACTTTACACAAGGCTCATACGTCTTCTGTAGGCAATTGTGAACATATGAATGTACGATGTCACGTATAAAATGTTTGACTGGTACTTTGACTCGGCACCAGTAACTTTCGGTGATACAGCCAAAAGCCAGTAATACACTAAGCAGCCGCATCACTTTTTTACTGTACCAAAATCCATTCTAATTGTAATTGCATCTTGTGGCTTTTATTATTTACTTGTGCCAATTAGCTGTAGATAGTCTTAACACCACAATGAAAAGCATTGTTTTACCGCCATCTTTGATGGAAAGCCTCAGCTTTCTCCATATGTAAACCTTAATTGCTGTGGCTAGTTGGGTGTGTCTCTTCTTTACACCTACAGTGACACCCAACAGTGATGTCACAGTGTCCTGGAGTACACCTGTACATCACGGCAGAAAGGTGGGAAGTTTAACCACCAAAGACAAGATTTTCAGGGGGCTAAACCATGACCTCTTCCTAGGCCTAAACAAGTAGTTTGTTGCATAAGTAAACCTAAAAACTAAGTAAACATACATTTACTGTGTGCATGTAACAAGTGGAAACTCTACGCTTCCTGTGAGAAGTTTTTGAAATTGTTGAAATCTGACAGGCAGGGGGGTTCCTTGAGTATCATAGTTTTAAATGTGGAGCCACTGATTTGTTTGACGAGTCAGGACTGAAAAACGAGTGGGTTTAAAACAGTGATACAACTGTTATACAATAACAATATCACACTAGAATTTGTGATATACGATACAATACTGATACTGCTGTGTTGATCTGAAGTGTTTAATTCAATTCAATTTATTTTTGTATAGCCCAAAATCACAAATTACAAATTTGCCTCAGAGGGCTTTACAATATGTACACATTTGACATCCTCTTGTCCCAGGACCCTCACATCGGAACAGGAAAAACTCCCCCAAAAACCCCTTTAACGGGGAGAAAAGAGGAAGAAACCTGTGGGAGAGCAATAGAGGAGGGATCCCTCTCCCAGGATGGACAGAAGTGCAATAGATGTCATGTTTAAGAGTATTTACATTGGTATTCATGTACATTTTAAAAGCCCAAAAGAAGTGCACGCCACACTGGTTGCACCCACGTCACACCATTTGCAGAACTAACATCTTGAATAGATTTAGAAATTTGATGACGTGGATATGTTGAAGGAAATTGGCTCATTTACATTATCAATGCATAACCTAGATGTGTTTATTTTTATAATACTACATACAGTATGTTACTTACATTATCTATGTGTGTTTATTTTAATCATAGAAAAAATGAAGCACAGATAATCTGAAGGTATACAAAGACAGAGAGAGGATCATCTTGACCTGTGCATACCAGGGTTTATGAATAACTTAAGTAAAAAAAACAAGAGAGAGTCTCTTTATAATTGAGTACCGGGCACCATCATACTAAAAACAAACCTTTCCTTGTGTAATAGCCACTCCCTGTGAGTAAAAATGTAATAATCCTGTTTTTAATCCATAACCAATCAGTAACTGTCCGTGACTTCTGTGTTCTGATTATTGACCAATCAGAAAGACCCCAGACAATAAGGAGGAGCATTGCATGAAAGATTTAAAAAGTGATGATGTGAGAAAAGTTATTCTGTCTACATTCTTGAGTCCACACCCTTTGTATTTTCAAATTTGCAGGCTATTAGGCTATTCGCGCCGTTGTTTGCAGTGTTAGCGCCCATGTTAAGAGCCGTGTGAAGGTATTTTGGACTTGTAAGGGGCAAGCCCCCAAGAAGAGTAACATTTGACTTTGAAACCAATTTTCTTTGTGGCCAAACCAAGGAATTACAACTTCCGGGTCTCTCATGGGATGCCATTGGCCCCAGAAAGACTTGGTTAAGCTTTGGAAAAGATTGTGATATAATTATAAAATAACTATGTTTATTAAGTAATATAAGTATGTGTGTAACGTATCTGGTGCTAGTTATGTAACAAAAGTAGTCAATTTTATTTGGTTTCACACGGGACACAAACAGCGGTCACTTGAGTGAAAGTCCTGTGTCTGTTTAAAGCGGATAACGTATTTTGTGACTAGGTTGGCATTTCTAAATCACTATCTGAGATGCTCCACCCACCATCGAGCTGCAGGTTTATTTCAAGTTATGATATTTTGAAACAAGTGAGACAAATATTCACACTGATACAGCCCACAACAAATATAAAATTAGTACTCACCTTGGTTTTCTTCTAAAATGCCAAAGCATGAAGTTGGAATGAACCCATTCAGATGAAGAGATGAAAATCAAAAAAAGGGAAAAGAATCAAACACAAAGGTCAAGATCCTTGCATAAATCTGAGTGGAGATCGAATCATAAGTGACCTTTAAACACACACATATCTTTTTTTTGATACTTCCTGCTAGTCAATACCCTACATTTTTCACCGCCATGTGTTCTACTTCACTTTTTACAGGGTGAGGGGTCTAATGAATCCAGGTTAAACAATGTCAGAAAAGAAACTCTGATGACATACATCTCAAGAATTATATAACAAGGAATGTTGAAGGGTAGTTCAAAACATTCTTTCCGAGAGTGAGATCAGGTGATCAAAACCAATCTCATGTTTCTGTGTAGCTCGAGACACTGAACAAAAGTGATGTGCGGATCGATACAGCGTAGTTTGCCAAGAAATATTTATAGCATGTGACTTATTTTTGAACATTGACAACCAACTGAAGAATAGAGAACTGTTCAGGTACCTACCAGAAAAGTAGCTAGCTGTTAAGCAACGGTGAGGACTTAACCCATTAGGCTTCAAGCATGTACCCTAATATACAGTAAGCTATGTTGTAGAAAAATACCTTTGATATACTGCCATATATAAGACACTATTATCTGCACTTCTGATTGAGCCAACATTGGTTATTTATGATACCGCTCTCTCATCGCTGTCACATCCCAGGACAGTCTAAACACTGTAAATCATAAACAGGCATTAACACGTGAAAAGTGGGTTCAACACAAAAATGTCAGCATCTTGCCAATTATTTACTGACAATTATTTACAAAAAAAGTCTTCCTGTTTTATCATCCCTGTCAAGTAGCCAGCTTGTGACATATGGACCATGTGTAGGCCTAAGTGTTGATCTTACCTGCCTCTGTGGATTTGAGTCCAGTCCTGTTGTCTCCGCCTGGCTTGGCTGGAAGCCAGGGGCCCTTTTGTTGCCCCGGTAGTTTCCCTTCAAGGGAATCCAGGGAGTGAGACGGCTGGTTAACTGCTGCCCACGTATACAGCTGGTCATGCTGGGGAAACAAAACTCTTTTTAAATGCTTTATTTTTAATGTCACACCAGCGGTGGAAAGTAAAAGTTTGGGTACTTTTGATTTTTACTCTGCTACTGTTGCATCAGCAAACATCATTATTTTCTCTGAAAAATAACATTAATCAAAAGTGACAGAGGAATAGATCCACTGAAGCAATCATAGAGGGCAGGTAGTCGGTCACATGACAACACAAACACCATCCATCCATCCATCCATCCATTCTCCTCCGCTTATCCGGGGTCGGGTCGCGGTGGCAGCAGGTCAAGCAGGCTGACCCAGACTTCCCTCTCACCGGCAACATGTTCCAGCTCATTCTGGGGGATCCCGAG